GTTTTACAAGACGCTCTCCACTCGATTCGTTCTTTGTTGTGCACGGCCACCAATGCTACTCCACACGAGCGGATGTTTCATCACAATCGAAAATCCGCAGTCGGTACGCCCTTGCCACAGTGGTTGCTTTCCCCAGGACCAGTTTTGATGCGGCGAAACACACGATCTTCAAAGTACGACCCCCTAATCGAGAGGTCGAGTACGCATATGTCAGACGCCCTAACGGTCTCCCTACGCCACCTGGCGCCTTCAGCAGATTTCGGATGTGCTCCAGCATCCGAACAGCAGCAACCGGAGTCCAACGCTGATTCATTTATTAAGCCGGAACTATCTGACTCTGCTTCGGAAAGTGAAATGTCGAATTCTTCTGAACACCCATTGGTTATACAACAACAGCGGACACGGCCGTATGTCCTGCGCAACAGAGAGGCCTGACATTATTCAATTATAAATTAAACTCCTCAGAACTTTCATCTCTGCGGGGGGTGAATGTTGTATATTTGCTCTGTTTTTCAAACGTTTCATCATTTATTGCTAAATCACTTTCTTCCGTTTTCAGCTCTCAGTGTCAAAGTTTTGGATGAATAAAGCCTAGCTTTCGGGCCCTCCGTCTTTTCCATTGCCATTCTGATTGTCGTTGCACTCTGACCCTCGTCGTACACAACACAAACTAACATCTCTGTGGTTATCACATTCACTGTGAAAATGAGCACCACTGTCAATTCACCCCAGGTATCTGGGACGGTCTCCTTCTCCCAGATAAACCCAAATAGGCTAGACAGGCACTGGCTGAGAAATCCAACGCCATCCTAGAAAAGGGAAGTTGGAAGGTCGTGAGGACCAGGACGCTTGAGTAGAGAAATACATTCGGACACTTCTGAGACTGAAGGCGGATCCATATTTACGGCCCAACTTTTTTGACCGAGCAGTGGTTGTGGTGCAGTGACCATAGAACAATAAAAACATTGACTGTAGATTTCTCGCCATCATTAAAATGGTGCGGTCGACTTCGCTTTCCGGAGCAGAACTGACTAGTAATTACACACGTCTTATGCTACAGATGTCATGTAGCGTAACTGACTAAACCACTGGGCGAGGACGCGCGTAGTTAGTTGTCTTGGCCGGAGACTAAGGCTTACGGAAGATTGCCTCTCGCCGACAGCGGGAGAAAATATAAATACAATAAGATCCCCCAAACAGGGGACACTTGTTAGGAGATCCCGAATGAGGGATGTTCATTCTACGAGCGTTCTCTGAATATAGATCCAAGAAGACAACAGCAAACAAGTTCCACATCAAGCGGATAGAACGCAGAGACATTACATTGAGTCAGTACACTCTCGAAAATCGAGCATCCCTAGAATGTTTCTGCAACTCTTGATATCTGGACCATGATATCAGTTCAGTGATCAGTGCCCGGGGTCGTCCCTCTACTCAAAACCTGATGGCTTTGACAAATGTTGTACACGCCCGTTCAGACGCTTCCCTGTCCAGCAACATAAGACTGATGCATCGGGACGGTGTAAAACAGTAGACTGATGTCCTCCGTCCTCCACACATCACCAGGTAACGATCCAGTTAGAAGAACTGCTATTTTTCCATGAATACGCCTCATTTGTTTTGCTCTAATAATAATTGATTGCAGACGTTACGACAGGATTTAAATATTACAAGCCAGCTAGCGATAGCTATCAAATTGATGTGCCTCATTTCATCTCATCATCATCATCATCATCAACGACAGCATGACATCAGTGTTCAACACCGATGCTTCACTGCCGTACAATCATGACTTATTTGAAAGCCTTATTGTAAAGAAAAGAATAACAGTGGATGGGGAGGGGACTTAGTGCTAGCTTAACACAATCATTCCGA